ATACATGCCCTGACCAGGGATCAAACCCACAAAATAGGTATGTGCCCTGGCCTGGAATTGAACCTGCAACATTTTGGTGTGTGGGACAATGCTCCAACCAACTGAGCCACTCAACTAGGGCCAAATGTCTTACCCTGAAAGCGACTGGGTATCTGCTTCTCTGGTCTCTTTCCCTGGACAGCAGGCTAAAAAATAACAGCAACTGAAGGAATCACCTGGGACCCAGGGATGGAAGCCACACACTGTGCATAGGAGAGCAGCTGATCCTAAGCTGCTCACCACTAGCAGGTGACATGAGAAAAAAGCACAGTATATGGTTGTCTTATCTCTTTGTTACACTGGCTTGGCCTGTACCCCAACTAATAAATATAGTACCCTCAACTGTACAACAACTGAATGACCTTTCTTGAGTTTTGTTTACAGGTCAATAAATATTTTACATGGATTATGTCATCAATCTTAACAACTCATTGAGCTGAAACATCTTGGCCAGATCAGAAAGCTATCAACTGGAAGAAAATAAATATATTTTCTTCAGGTGAAAGACCATAAAGACAAAACCAAGAAAAATGATTTTTTGTACTATTTCCAGCAATCCTTTCAATGATATACACACACAAAAAAAGGCATTTCTGTGCATACCAACAGCAATAGAAGACTTTACATTCTGCATGTAAATTTTCACTTTAGAATTCCCTTCTATACTGTCTTTTACTAAAGTAATTCAAGTGACATGTTCATGAGTAAATAATTGGTAGCAGAATTTTGGTTTCATCTAATTTATATTTTGTATTAAAAGAGCAGCAGCACATTATGCTAAGTGAATAAGTGAGTCAGAGAAAGACAAATACAATGTGATTTCACCCATATGTAAAATCTAATGAACAAGCTGAACTAACAAGCAAAACAGAGGCAGACTTATAAATAGTACGCAAGATGACAGCTAAGGCAGGGGCGCAGAAGGTTCAGTGGTGGAGGGACTGTGCAAAAAGGAAAAAGGACTCATGGACACAGACAACAGGATGGTGTTTGTGGGGAGAGAGGTAGATAAGGGGACTAAATGGTAATAGAAAAAATTCAATCAAAAAATGTAAAATAAATAATAAAAGAGCAGTAGAATAACCATCTTGACCACTTACCTAATCAGGGATCTGCTTACCTTCTCAAAATACAAGTAGCAATATAAAAATGTAATATATTAATTTATATTCTAAAGCATAACAAGGGTTTTTTTAATTTTGGAATTACATCCAATTTAGTAGTTATGTAGCTTAGACCAAAAATTTAATCTTGCAATTGCTTTATGCATATTAAAGATGATGATGTTCACTTCACAAGGTGCTCTGGGAATTAATAAGATAATGAACACAAAGTGTTTAATATAGTTCTTGAATTAATGAAAAATTAAGTCCTTCAGTTGTATTTAAAAGGTTCTAATGTATTAAATTCACTAAGTAAAATCATAATACATTATTATTTCTTTCCCCCAATTTTATTTTTTCTTCTCTGAATTATTTCATTTACTTACCACCTGAGCATATGCAGTTAATGGACATGTCACCTTCCAATTAATGATCCGATAATGAAATAATTCGCTAAGACATATCTTATGGGACTACAACAAACTAAAAAGTTTTTGCACAGCACAGAAAAACAACAACAAAATAAAAAGACATGCCACAGAACTGGAGAACATATGCCAAGATATCTGATAAGGGGTTAGTATCCAAAATTTATATAGAACTTACAAAACTCAACACTAAAAAACCAAAAAACCCAATTAAAAAAGGAGCAAAGAACCTGAATAGACACTTCTCCAAAGAGGACATACAGATGGCTGATAAGATATATGAAAAGATGCTCAATGTCACTATCAGAGAAATGCAAATTAAAACTATAATGAGATGACATCTCGCACCTGTCAGAATGGCTATCATCAATAAATCAACAAACAACAAGTGCTGGCGAGGATGTGGAGAAAGGGGAACCCTTTTGCACTACTGGTGGGAATACAGACTATTACAGCCACTGTGGAAAGCAGTATGGAGATACCTACTTTCCACAATAAAATAATAAAATGGATCTGCTTTTTGACCTAGTGATCTCACTTTTGAGAATATATTGGAAGGAACCCAAAACACTAATTGGAAAGAACATAAGCACCCCTATGTTTATTGCAGCATTATTTACAATCACCAAGATATAAAAGCAGCCCAAGTGTCCATCAGCAGGTGAGTAGCTAAAACAACCATGGGACATTTACACAATGGAATACTACTGGGCCATAATAAAGAAGAAAGTTTTACCTTTTGGGACCTGAAGGTCCTTATGCTAAGTAAATAAGCCAGTCAGAGAAAGACAAATACCATACTATTTCACTGATATGTGGAATATTATGAAAAAACTGAACTAACAAGGAAAATAGAGACAGACTTGTAGAGAGCAGGATCATAGCTAAAGTGGTCGAAGTGGGGGGCAGTTAGGGAATGGAGGGATTGAGCAAAAAGGACTCATGAGTGTGGTGATTGCAGGGGGAGAGGCATATAAGGTGACTAAATGGTAGTAAACAATAATAAAAATTAAAAAGGAAAGAAAAACACAGAATTCAAATGCATCAGAGTAATATCACCACTTAAGCCTATTCATGCTGGATCTTTAACAGAAGTTAGGCAGATAACTACAAATTTCTCATCAGCAAACTTAAAGTATTGAATTCATATAACAATATCTATCAACTTTCTTTGAGCTGATATCTTACAGTGCCATAAAGCAATTTTTATTAAATTGCAAAGATGTCTTATTTCAGTTATGTTGCTTCATTACAGCTGCTTATGATCACTCAAGTAAAATGCTAGTTGTATCCTGCAATGTTAGTAAAAACAATCACAGTAAATGAATTACCATCATTTCCACAACATTGAATTTCAAATCAGGACCCTGTTAAGTTCTTCCATTCATTCGACTTTTGGTCCTCATCATGTATCCAGGCCTCCCAATCTCATCTCCAAGTTCACCCTCAACCCTGGCATCCTTCAGCCAGTCTCTGCTTTAAATTCCCATAGCCAAAAATAAAGTCATCTCTGACAGGTGTATCGGCTTCTGGCATGAACCATATCTCTAGACAAAAGCAGAGAGGCATATATGGATCATCTATCTATATAAAATGACACACTTCGTGTACCCCAATGCCTAAATTATTTTCCAATAATGAATTCTATTCTAGCTCTCACCTGTCCTTTGTTATATGTACATATATATACTTCTTTCATTGTACCTTTTTCTGTCACTGTAATTAAATGTATGTCTGAGAAACAAAAAAACTGTGGGGATTTTCTTTCATCCTCTCCATTCTATTTTGTTATCCATATTCAGACAAAGTCATTTATTCATTTAACAATTTTATACTCTTCATAGTAATCTATACTTCATAAAACATAGTGGAAATCAGGTGAGACTTTTTTTTCTTAAGGATTCGCTGTGAAGAGCAGATTCAGTGAGAGAGAGTTCAGATATTTACACCAAAAGTAAAAATGAGGTCAGCCAACAAAGTGGTTTCTGAGGCTGCAGAAATACTGGAGGAGTGAAGGCACACTCCCAGAACAGTTTATTTTTAATCTCAATCTGTCAATAAAAAGAGCCATACAGCTTCTAACCAGAACTTGTCAATTCTCATTACTTTTTTTCTCATTACATAAATTCTATCAGCTTCATAGAGGTTTACTTACTATCTTACGCACTTTCATATTCTTATGCATTTCACCACAATAAATCATTGCGGATCTCAAGCACCAGCTCACAGGGGCCTTCAGGCCTCTTTGCAGCCACACAGTAGAAATTATTGATCAGCAGAGTGTCAGTCGCCTGGGGAGAGGCACTGGGTCTCTGTCAACCTTTGGTGGCCTGCACAGTGACTGGGACAGATTATGTGTTGACCAGAACTACATTTGATCATCACTATTCCCAAGAAACGCCTTTCATTTCCAAATACATCCATCTCACACATATTTAAGTTTGTTCAACATACTGTTAAATTGAAACCTAAAATTGTTTTGTAAACAGTTTCTGGAATATTTTTTCAAGTATTTGCTTAATTCATAAGATTCTCTTATGAATTTCTATTAAACCATAAGGTAACCGTACATACCAGTTCCCCTCAGAGACAAATAGTCACACATAAATATCCAGGTAATAAGTAATATGATGTTATACATGAAACTGCTTTCCTACATCACACCACATTTCTTGGAAAATACAAGGCCTCACTGCATCACTAAGAACACAAGAGAAAAGTACTTTCAAATTGTTACAATACATTCCTTACAGAGACTCTTGACATTTAATTCTTAATAAGTCTAATAAAACCTACAATGTGAATGTTCTTACCCAAGTAAAATAACCTATTGAAGATTACATATAAATATTTATGTAAGGTTATCATTTTCAAAAATCATTTGAGTGACTTTCATAGCCACTGCATACATAAGAAAAACCATAGTTTGCAGTGACTTTTTTTCTTACACCAAAGTCTTCCTTACCCATCTCAGTGACTCACTCTAGTCTCCAGACACAGTTGTAAACACTTTTCAATTCTTGTTTAAAGTAAAATCTACCCTCCAAGAGTCAAGAAGTGTTCTTACTGAGGGTACTGAAAAGAATTCATCACAGTACTTAAGTCACTGCAATGTGAGAGATTATAAAATACAGTCTGAAGAATGGAAACCTGACATCCCCTTTGAACTTTAGGGGGGGTCTAAGTATCACATGGAAGTGAGGGCTGTTTGTAAACTGGAAAGTGTTTGTGGTGAGAAAGCTTTGTTAACTGTTGGCGATGCTGCATCCTCTTCACAATGACAAGCCGTACCAAGGGTCTCTCTCAGAATGTCACTATCAGATCCACACGAAAAACCGTATCTTATTTATAATATGGCAATACAGCTTCCTAGAAGTTAGAACTGCATTCAAATTAAAGAAAAGATTAAGCTCATGTGGGTTCTACTCACATCAACCAGCTGACTGACTCCACTTGCTGTTTTCGCCAGTGTGACAAGGTCTTCTTGCATCTTATCCACCCATGACTTGATCCTGCAGAAATTAGAGAAGAGCATTATTCTATCATCTCTGCAGCAAATTAACACAGCGATTCTACATAAGTGCAAATAATTAATTAAAGTTCCTTTAAATCTTTTTTCTCCTTCCTAGCTCCCATTATGTTTACCCTCCCAATTCCATTTACAAATTATAAAGCAGAAACTTTAGTGTAAACCCTCTTAAAATGCTGAAATAGCCCCAGATCAAAGAGAGAAAAATGACGCGAATGCTTTGTCTAATACGAGGGTAAAATTTGATTAAATTTTATGAAAACTCCATTTAAAATTATTAAATAGAATATTCTAAACTAAACTTTATTCTTTATAAGTCTTCTGAATATAGTGCTAAGGGTGTGCTAACTGTAGAACATTTTTTTAAATGTAATGAGAAATATTTTAAGTATCTCCTAATTTCAATACATAGGGATAACCACTCTTAACATTTAATGCATTCCCATTTTGTCTTTTAAAATCATTTCACATGGTTAAAAGCAAGTTATGTATAATTTATGTATCTTATCTTTTCCTTAAGTCATATGATAAATACTCCCATGCCATTATAAGTATCTTATAAACATTTTATTTTAATGGCCACTTAATATTCCATTATCTCCAGATCTCATAATATACTTGACCATCCTTCTGTTTTACAAAAGATATTTAGGATATCATCAGCTTTTAACCATTACAAATTATACTGCAACAAATATCTTAGTGCATAAAACTTGAAAGTATTTCATTTCCTTAGCTAGACTCTTAGATTTAGAATTACTGGATCAAAACTTAAGTTTTAAAGGAATAGTTCTGAGCATTAACATTGTGATTGAAGGATTAACGCAATGGAAATCTTACAATACAAGCAATGGATGCTGGGACATTTTAGAAAAGCCTAAGTCAATGGTCTCCCTTACTTTTTCTCGGTATTGGAGACATCATCGAATACCACACAATTTCCCCCATTTGGATCAATGTAATTTAATTTGCAACCCCTTCATATATTTCATTTATTCATCATCATGTTATAAAAATACCTAAATTGTATATTCTTTTCTTTTTTTATTATTCAATTATGGGTATCCCAATCTTTCTCTTGTTGGTCTTCCCTACCCAGCCCACCACCTCCACACCCCCCCTGCTGTCCATGTGTATAATCTTTTCTGCTCATGCAAATAAAAAGAAAACACTGGTAAGAATGACAGATTATATTTGAATTTGAAATTCTCTCTGCATATATATATATGCAGATGCATATATATATGCATCTATATGTTGCTTATTTGTCCTACTTCTTTAAATTTTATTAATACTAAATGTTTTATAAAGTGCTGTTTTATAAAGAAAAGTATATTTTGTGTTTCACAAGTGTTTGAATCATAGATATTTAACTGTATTGATCTTCCTTTCCTTATATAGATAAGCGTTTCAATTGTACTATAAGGCTGCCAATTTTTTAAGATGAATTTAAATGTAACAAAATAAAAAATTAAGTGTGGGAAGAAGTATAACATGGAAAAGGGATTCAAATTAAGTATAGGAGGACACATAAATAATGATAAGCTGATAAACTAAAGAGGAAGAACCAAAACTGAAAGTCATAAAAAGGATGAAATGCCTTAAACAAAAACACAGAGGCTTGATTTACATGTAAAATGAACTAGTTAGTAAAGGAAATACATAAAAGCTAGGGATACTTTCACACAAATGAAAATTAAAAAGAATATTTATTGAACCATGCTGTATGAATATGATAAAAAGAAGATAAATCAATATCAAGAAACAAAAATAAATGGGAGGAGACTATAAAGCAAAGAGAAATTCAAACTCACTAAAATGAATGCTACATACCATATTATTCTAATATTAGACTGTGCTGCTTAGGAACTGGTGCATATATTTGATACACAGTATAAATACTAATATTCTTAATATTACTATTAGATAAATATAGACGTCCCCCCTTTTTACATGTAAAACAGTAAATGACAGTAGGAAATGGGTAGGGGCAAATAGTGCCCCTGACACTATTTTCTAATTCAGATCAGACTACTCATTTCTCCAAGAGGTTACTGAACAAGTCCCAGAACCCAAGGAAAATGAGCCATCTCTTCTCAAATATACCTCCCAGCATTGACAAAGGGTAAAAAGTGTTACACATCTTATACATCCCTGTAGCTGGGGAACTGAGACAAAGAGTATACATGTAAAAACAGTAACTTATCTCATGCCTGAGTTCTGACTTATGCTAAAATGATCTAGAACTTGCATTCTAACCCGACAACTGAGCATACTGTCACCGCCAGTGTTCACTGAGGTGAACCTGTTTTGGCTGAGAAGCAATTCAGGACCCTTTCAGTCTTCTCTGCCCCAAGGACAAGTTATCAAGATCACTTTGTAGGAGCAAGGGCTGTTTTTCATATATATGACATGCTAGCTGGTTTTCCTCTGCCTTCCAAATCTGGAATTAGAAGAACATAATGACAAGGAAATAAGCAAAGACCCCATTCATCATAAAAGTGGGACCTTACACAAGGGAAAATACTCATATGTGCAAATCCTTTATCAATTTTTCTCTCTCTAGGTAAATTGTCAAGCACATATTTATAATCACTAAGTGCTATTTAATAAAATGTGTCCAAAATATACTATAAAATTTGGGAGACAGTTACAAAGGATATATAGCCCTTTCCTGAATAAGAAAACAATATAGCACTCAAGGAGGAATAACTTGTGCTTTTCTCTTTGTTAACCCATTCATCCAGTATTAGTATTTGCTGAAGATATTGAAAACTGGAATGCATAAATGAGTTATTTTTGCCTTACAGTTTCATTGGGATTAAAACTGGGTTTTGGAAGAAAAGAGGCAAATAACAAGAACATATGGTGGTGAATAGGGGGAGAAAAGTCACTTTCTCAGACTTAAATTCTTGACTGATATCCTATAACAAAAGAGAGATGAACAAGTGAAAAACACACTAACTTATTTAGTATGTTTTGTATGCCACAGGAGCCTTCATGAGGAAATAAAAGCCAAAAACATGGTTAAACCTGAGTGCTCTTATGCTAGGTTTGATAGCGAATGGAAAGTTGTAAATGAATAGGACAGGTCAAAGGGTCTGAGCTGTGTGTAGTAAATTAAGAGAAACTTATCCAAACCTGTGCATTCAGATTCCGTTCTCTATCCCTTGTCTTTGGAGATAAAGATGTTCCTTTCCTCCGAGTATGGGGAGTGCAACTCTCCCAAGAGGAAAGGTCACAGTGTGAATCCTCAGATTCTTTGAACTTAAAATATTCAACATGTCAAGCTGTTATAATTTGAGGTACTGTATCCTGTATCCACATCAGGAACCAGCCAGCAGTCACTTAAGTTTTAGTAGGTAAAAATATAAGAAGCAGATAGGGGAGGTTTTCTAGAAGTGAGATTTGAAAGACAAGTGGAATTTGACAAAATTGAGGAGAAAAGGAAGGAATACTAAAGGCAGTGGAAATGTGAAACATGGCATATTCAGAAACTGCAAGCAGTTTGAATGGTTGGAGTCCAAGGCTGGATAAACCAATTGTATGGAATGGGGGCGAGAATGGTAGAGAAGAAATTCAGGCAGACAGATGGGCCCAAACAAGGGACTTAAATAACATTCTGAAGCATTTAGACTGTACTCTCAAAATAATAAAGAGATAATGGAAAATGTGAAGTTGGAGAGTTATAACATCAACTGCACATATATGAATATGATAAAATAATTTCTGACAGCCAAGTAGATGGTGTCTTAAAGGGAGAATAGAAAGAGAGAACAGAGGGTCTAGATAAGAGTAAAACATGGGCATTCAAACCAGCACAGTAGTAGTGGGAAAAGGAGGAGGGGCCAAGTAGAAGAAACTAGGTCAAAAACATTGTGAGGTATGGCCAACTGGAGTCTGTGCACTATTGGATATAGATGGTGAATGGAACAAAGAACTTGTAGATAATTAATGAAGTTCCTCGGTCAGACAATAATCCGAGATTTTCATATAGAGAGTACCACAGGAAGAACAATTTAGAAACATTGGTAAGTTTTTTTGTTGGCTCAATTAGAGATGTTTTTGAGAGGTTCATGTGTAGATACCCAACAGGCGATTTAATATACACAGGCTTGGAGCTCTCAGAAGAGACGTTTCCATCAAATTTAAAGAGTTGGTAGTTAGAATGTATATAAAGGATATAGGTATATCAATGTATGCTTCCCAAAGGAGCGCATACCTGGGAGGAAGGACACACACAATAGCTAGAACTCTTCGAGATAACGTGTGACAATATAATAGAGAAACTGAGCAGCGGCAAGAGAGAGGGAAACCCAAAAGCAATGGTATCGCCAAAGCCAGAGAAGGCAAAAGTTTAGAGACGGGAAGTAACTATAGTCATCAAATACAGTGACAAAAATTCATCCATCTTATGTGTGAGATAGAGAGAAACCGTATGAAACTTAGAAAAAATCACCAACAGGGTTTATTGCTCCTGTTTGCTTTTTTATATAGGCATGTTTCTGTGTAAAAGGGAAAGGGAAGCAGAGATAGAGACATCATAGATTCAGGTAATTTTTGATAGAGTGAGGTCCTTCAAAAGACTCTAGATTCCTTAGGCTTCTTCTTGCTCATCCCCGAATATCAGGGGCAGTGTGGGGTGGTGAGGGGAGGATGAATAAAGAAATAAGCAAAAACACAGGAGAAACTTAATCCTTGGCTTGGGAGAATTACTTTTTCATGAGATTGGAGAAAAAACATAAAAGATTTAGGTACATGGAAATAACTAGAATGACCAGATCAAAAGTTGAGACAGTTCTACTCAGTGGTCTTGATTTACTTTGTAATGAAAGGAGACCGTCATCCGTTTAGAGATAGATAGTGAGTATTAAGGAAGGGTAGTTGAAAGGAAGTTGGAGGTTTGTGGCTGGCGGTCATTGCAGGACATGCCCTGGGCTGGAGGTCATCAGTTTTCATTGGTACTAATCCGCACAGTTGTGT